TCTCCTCTCTCTCTCTCTCCTCTCTTCTCTCTCTCTCTCTCTCTCTCTCTCTCTTTCTCTCTCTCTCTCTTCTCCTCTCTCTCTCTCTCCTCTCTTCTCTCTCTCTCTCTCTCTCTCTCTCTCTCTAGGCTCCTATACCTATATATACTCTCTCTATCTCTCCTTTCTCTTCTCTCTCTCTCTCTCTCTCTCTCTCTCTCTCTCTCTCTTTCTTGCTTTACTTTCTCTCTATTTTCTCCTTCTCTCTCTCTCTCTCCTCTCCTCGAGCTCTTCTTCTTTCCCCTCTCTCTTTCTCTCTTTCTACTCTAGCTCTTCTCTTTCTTCCCCACTCTCTCCTATATCTTTCTCTCCTCTCTCTCTCTCTCTACTTTCTTTCCTCTGTCTCTCTTCTTCTCTCTCTGCTCTCTCTCCTCATTCTCTCTCTCTCTCTCTCTCTTCTAATTCTCATCCTCTCTCCGCTCCTTCTCTACAGGGACCGCATTACGTCCCGTTTACGGTCTTGTCTTGTCTTGTTCTTAAACAGGGCCTTTCACTTTCACCTCGAGTAATTAAGATGCTGGCGTAGCTAATGGTCAATAGCGACGGTGCTGCCCTACTGCGCCCTGACTCGACCCGACGACATTCGATCCGTCGCGCGTCGCGGTTACCGTCGGCGGATGCCAATTACCACGATGATGTCATCCACGCCTCACGTTTATACAGCGAAAATGCCTTGGCGGCCGTGTCCCGTGGGACGGCGCTCTCTCCCCCTCTCCTCGCTCTCTATTCTCTTCCTTCGCCTCTTCTCTTTCTCCTCTCTCTCTCCCTCCCTCTTTTGCTTCTCTCTCTTTCTCTCTCTTCCCTCTCGCGCGCTCTCTCTCGCGTGCTCTCTCTCTCGGCGCTCTCTCTCCCTCTCGCCTCTCTGCGCCAGCCTCTCTCCGCTTCTCTTCTCTGGCTGCTTCTTCGCGCGGCTCTCTCGCACTGCTCATCTTTTCTTTTGCCCTCTCTCTCACTCTCCGTCTGCGCGTCACTCTGTCCTCTCTCTCTCTCTCTCAACTCTCTCTCTTCTCTTTTCTGACTTCCTCTGCTGCTACTCTCTCTCCCATCATCTTCTTCTCTCTTTGTCTCGCACCTTGTTCGCTTCTCTCTCGCTCTCTGCTCCCCGGCGGCATCTTTCATCGATGTAAGTTTGGGGATGCGTTTAATTCGAGGCTCACTCGGGGCCGGCTCTTGGTGGACACACGAGGAGGGGGAGGACACGGCGGCAGGGAGTGCATCAACGAGCTACCCGTATAATTAGATTAGTAACGTCTGCTCGCGCTGTGCCGCGGCTATAACGAACCTTTCCCGAGCGCTCACAGCGCCTCACACCGGCGCCGGCTGTTGGCGGACGTTAAGGCACGGATCCGGCAGGGGCGGGGGCGGGAGGCGCGGGGTTGACTACGTACGCTCGACATTATACTGGCGATCCATCAGCGGCAGCCACATCGCCGCCGCATCCCGGTCGCCGCCGGCATATTTTATTTAGACCGCATTCGTGCCAACGGATGTTGTACCCCAACACAAACATTTTGCGAGAACTCCCGCGTTGACGTTTAACTGCCAAAAGCGGATCTCGTCTGCATGTAGTATTTCGCTTCTCTCTTTATACTCTTATATTATTCTCTCTCTCATCTCTTCTCTCTCTCATCTCTCTTCATACTCACTCTCTCTCTATCTCTTCTCTTCCCCTCTCTTCTCTCATTCTCTATCTCCTTCTTCTCTTCTTCGCGGCTCGTACTTACTTCGTTTATTATAATCTCTCTTCTTCCTTCTTCTCTCTTCTTCTCGTCTCTTCTCTTTCTCTCTCTCTCGACAACACCAGTCGACAACGTATGTCCGTTAATCAGGAACTGATAACTCGGAGTACGGCTATTCCGATTTTGCACACACGATTGTCGTAATTTTGAGCCTGTAACGTCGAAAAATGGTATCGACCGGTTACATGTTCAGCTTGACAACCACCGCTATACTACCGAGATTGGGACACTTCGAGATCCCGAGTTACGGCAAAGATAATATTCAGGCACAGCTCCGACTCGAAAACACAAAGGACGCACGCCCTTGCCAAGACCCCCGCGAAGAGCACCGCGAAATTTCATTGAGGTGCCCGTCACCGAACTATGTCGTGAAATACATCAATTACACGGAAGATGGCTTCGTTAGCTGTAGGCCATTGCAGGCTCAACTGCGTGAATTGGCGTGCAAAAGGAAACGCCGTAGGTTGAGAAGGGGACGGTTTGCAGCTGAAATGACGGGAGAGAACGCAGGCTCCGGGACGACGGAAGTGGGATACATTTGGGCACGGCACCGGGGATGTGGCGTAGAAGGAGCGCCAGCAGGGGGAACAGCAAGCAGGATGATGCGTGGCTGCTTGCTCCTAGTGTGTGGTGGGGTGCGGAGTATAGTTATGATGTATATAGGATATGAGATGGAGTATTATATGCTGGGTTGTGTGGGGTGGCGTATAGGGAGCTACCGCGGCCGGCTGGGCTGGTGGTGGGATGTGTGGTGTGTAGGGGGGGGGTGGAGTGGATGGTGGGTATGTGTGGTGGGTGTGTGGTGGTGCATCACGCGTACACGGTCTTACAAGCGCGGCGTGTGGCAGAAGATTGCGGCCATTCTCATTGGATTAGAAGTACGGAAATTAAACGATTGCATTGAATGCCGTGTCTCGACAAAAGTGGCGACCGGGCTCTGGTGCTGGCGATGATTGAGCCGTGGAGTCACGGCCAGCCAGGGCAAGCGCACTTGTGCTCGTGCCAGGCGTGTGAGAGCACACCGAGCGCGCGCACACCACAGCTGACAGGATACACCCGGCGGGCCTTAACAGGTCACACACAATTCGATTACTGGGGTCGGGCAGGCGGAGATGAACAGAGGTTAGAGAAGGAGAAGTCTCATTCGCAGGGATTCCCTGAGGTAGGAGGCTGGGCAGTGCCACAGGGCAGCGTGGAGCTATGCAAGAATGATAAGGCGAAAAAAGACGGACAGCTTATGGGACGACCAAATTGGGTAATGGGGGACCTCGGGCAGCCGTTAGTAGTGGGCCGATGAGGAGCGGGGGAATGCGGGCCAAGTCCGCTGAGGTTAGATGACACACCCGACCGGGCCGCCATTTGCGTACGCTGGATTCCACTGGGCACTGAATGTATTAAGGCCTCGAGAGGGAAGGAAGTAATGAGAACGATAGAGAGAGAGAGAATGGAGGCATGGAGCGTGAGACGTAGTATGAGAGTGAGGATGAAGGAGTTTAAAGTTAATATGTATAGTATAAAGAGAGAGAGAGAGAGAGATAGAGATATGAGAGAGAGATAGAGAGATGAGAGAGAAAGAGAGATGAGAGACAGGGAAAGACAGAACGAGCTAGAGAGAGAGAGAGCGAGGGAGCGAGAGAGAGAAATAAAGAGAGAGAACGAGAGATAAGAGAAGGGGAAAGAAAGGGAGAGATGAGAGAGATAAAGAGATCGTATATAGCGACCACTTTCGCGGATTTGATTCGATCAGATTTCAAAGTCTTAAGGCCGGCTCGAAAAATGTTGCCTTGACTTTGCCCGTCGGTGAAGGTTGAAGGATTCACACGTTGTTTACATTAGACGGTTTTTTGTATACGTTACGGCCGTAGCTAAAGTATCCGTCTGAGCGAGAAACCCTTTCCTTTTGGATATTAAATTGACTACGAATTTTCTATAGTGTATATTTGCAAAAATAGAAAGTATAATGCAGCAATATAACCACAAAAAGTGAACAGAATCACTTACATTTTGTGAAAAAGTGAACATAAATTTTTAATGTTACTATTTACGGTGACGTAATCACTTTAATGTTATGTCAGTCATGCTAGACGAAGTCATACGCGTTTTACGCAATATCACCAAATTGTCGAACCTATGCGAAACTTCGTCACTAAGCAGTATTTTAGAACGTCTCTCTCGCAACGTTTGTTGGCTACAGCTACTCGTACTATCAGGAGTAAGATAATATAGGATATATTACAGGAGTATAGGAGTATAGGATACTCCTGGTACTATCACAGTTACTATACTAGTTTATCAGTTCGGGCGAGTGGATAAGTTGACGCTCGATGCACGACATTTTATGCTAGCTGGTAATTGTCAGTGTTAGAGGAGTGAGGCGTCCGTCACCAGCTCACTGTTTGAACACGTGGGGATAGATACGTTACGGTAGGGTTAGGACCGACACGTTATCTGAGGAATGTACAATGACTTACACGACCGGTGTAGTTACAGCTGGCTTTACATTGTCAATAAGTTGACGTTGAACGCGTTCTGCGCGTTTACGCTATCGAATTTTTGTCGGTAGTAAAATCTTCCAACTTCGATTAACTTTGTTCGTGGAGGAGGGTGGATGCGTATTCTTACATATACATGCATAACTACATGGCGGAGGGAAGGAGAAGGACAGGGTTCTCTACATCATTGGGCTTATCAATGTAGTTCTATTTTGTCTGTTTACATCATCTATAACAGTGTAAAGGTAATAGGATAACAAGTAACGGTTAGGATTCTCTCGCAGCGTAATGCTAAAATGCCAATTCTACAAGGTTCTCCATATAATATTTCTGATCAGCTACCTTCAGTAAATCAATTAATCAATAAACTAATTAATACTCATCCTTATCGTTCGTGTTTCAGGGAATAAAGTTGAAGTCGATCAAGGAGACGCTATCACTAGAAGGTAGGTGGCAGCACTCGTAGGCAGACATGATAGGACCGGGTGTTGCTAGGGTGTTGCTATCCCCCGGGCCTGGAGGGAGGGTCACGTGATACAGTTGACGTATACTTCAAAATCATTACTCATCAGGTAACTCATCATAACTCCAACACCTCCAACGATAACCCTACCACTAAACATGGTGGGCGGTAACCTCCCTCCACGCCCGGGGGATAGCATTACCCGATAGGACCGACCCCAGCGGCCGGGCGTCCATCTTGTATATACAGAGCATGCAACCCACGCACGTGTTTGATATTCTCAGCACGCGTCTGGCGATTGGAATAGCTCTGTACTGCAGCGTATAGTTATTAACTGTCAAGTACATGGATGTAAGAGAGCGCGAGCAAAATCTACTCGGAGAGCGAGCGAGATTAAGGGAACCGGAGGGAAAGCGAGATAGAATGATGATAGCTAGACACGGATAGACAGGAGGGGAAGAGGAGAGTGAAGGGGAAGAGAGAATGGTCGTGTTTGTGTGTGGGCGTGCGTACATGAATTCGTGTGCCTGCGTGTGCTTGTGCGTGTTCTTGTACGTATGTGTGTATGTGCGTGTGCGCACGCGTGTGTGCGTGTGCATGTGCGTGTGCGTGTGTGTGTGTGTGCATGCGTGTGCGCGCGCGCGTGTGCGTGTGCGTGTGCGTGTGTACGTGTGTGTGTGTGTGTGTTTGTGTGCGCGCGTGTCTATGCGCGTGTGTGTCCGTGTGTATGCGCGTCTGCGTGTGTATGTGTGTGTGGCGCCAGCGTGCGTGGAGTGCTACCGTTGTGCGCTGCGTGCTGAGTGAGTGCAGTAAGTGACGTGCATGAGTTGACGTACGTGTGCCGTACGTTGCGTGCGTGACGTGGTGAGAGTAAGTGACGGCATGAGTGTCGTACGTGTACGTGGTGAGCGCGAGTTCGGACCGTGCCGTGAGTCGTACGTGTGCGTGCGTAGATGATTCGTGTATGTAGGTAATTCATCAGTCGCGTAATCATGTCCGCCGAACACAAGGCAAACAGTATTTCTCCCTCGACGCTCGGATAACGACCATGAATTACAGCTCTCGGGCTCAAGGGCAGCGCTATTCTCATGATAAATGCTAAAGCACCGGCCTCGCCGACGCACTCGGGCGGTTATAATGAAGCGCGACTTTGTGAATGCAAGTCCGACTGACAGCTCGGCCCGCTCCGGCTCTGCCTGCTGCTGCTACTGCTGCTAATGCCTTGCCTACTACTGCCTGCTCTACTCTGCCTACGTTACCACTACTGCTGTACTGCTGTACTGCTGCTACTGCTACTACTGCGCTACTACTGCTGCTTGCTACTGCTCTACTAACACTATGCTGCTACTGCTGCGAACGCTGCTTCTGCTGGCTTCTTGCTGCCTACCACTACCACTACTACTGCTGCTGCTTACTGCCTGCTACTACACTAACTGCTGTACTGCCTGTACTGTTGCTACTGCTGCTGCCTACTCACTACAACTAACTACTGCGCTGCTACTGCACTTCTACTGCTACTGCTAAACTGCCTACTACTGTTGCTACTGCCTGCTAGCTGCTGCCCTACTGTGCGCTTCTGCTCACTTACTCCACTATGCTGCTGCTGCTACTGCTACTACTACCACTACTCACTGCTGCCTACTGCCCCTACTCTACTGCTTGCTGCTCTTGCTTTGCCTGCCTACTACTACTACACTGCTACTCCCCTACTACTCACCACTACCACTCTGCTGTTCTGCTGCCCTACTGCTACTTACTACCACTACTACTGCTGCTGCTGCTGCCTGCTACTGCACTGCTACTACTACCACTACCAATACTGCTGCTGCTGCTTCTGCTGCTACTGCTACTCCTACCACTACCACTACTCTTGCTTTTGCTGATTGCTGTTGTTGCTACTGCCTGCTGTCTTTGTTGGCTATCTGCCTTACTCTGCTGCTGCTGCTGCTGCTGCTGTGCTCCTGATACTGTTGCTGTCTAGTTGTACTGCCTGCGAGTTTGTTATTCGCGGCTACCTGCTGCCGCCGATCGCCCGCCGCCACTACACTACAACTCACCCTACCCACTTACTATTACTACTGACTACTACTGCGCTTGCTAGCTGCTGTTGCTCGCGTACTTATGCTCACTACTACTGTAATGCTATTGACACCCTCGCTGTGTTCTGATTTACTCATCATTAACTAATTCTCGCTTATAAGCATAATATAATCACAGTTCGATGCTCGATCAGAACACCGTATTCATATCTCACCATTCCCTACTCCGCCGCTAACCTATTACTCACATCACACATACTCCCTTACCACACCTCCGCTGTATACCGTACCCATGTGTACACCCCATCCTCATTATCAACTCTTACCTACCGTCTTACCACGCGTCTGAATCTCCTCCTACACATCTTCTCACCTATCGGTACAAATCTCCCCTGATAACAGACTACTCTTCCGATTACACATCTCATCAACAATCTCGCCCCGCCCCAAGCGTCACCCCTCCGCCACCTCTTCGAACATCTCCCTCCCTCTCTCCTTCCCTCTGTCCCCCTCTTCCCTCCCTCCCTACCATCCCTCCCTCTCTCTCGACCCACACATTCCACGATGCGCGAAGATTAGTCGAATAAGGACCTGGTCCCTCCCTCCCCTCCCTCCCTCCTCTCTCGTACCCACACAATTCCACCGATGTGCGGAAATTAGTGAAATAATTGCTCTCCCTCCTCCCTCCCTCCCTCTCTCGACCCACACATCTCCAACGATGGCGCAGGATTAGTGAAATAATGCGTGCGTCCCTCCCCCCCCCTCCCTCTCTCCTCGTCCT